CCTTAATTAAGGAATATACCGAATATAGCTTAAAATTATAATAGGAACCTGTCTAATATAGGGTTCATAAAGGTTACACTTTGAAAAAAAACTTGATATTAACAGTTGCATACATGACTGAGCAACGCTTTGCCGTAGAGCAGGGTGCACCAACATTCGCCTTGAAGCTTATCCTCACTCTCCGGAATCGGGTCGTGAAGTCCATACGATGGAGTTTGCTCTGGGAGAAACACTACGGCCGCGCTGGTTTGTCCATGCCTGTTACGCTTTACCAGCTCATCCCAAGCAGATACGTACCTGGATTTTGACACAACCGTGCGGAAAAAGCTGCTCCCGACTACAAGGAAATCAGATCACAAGAAGGAACACATGTATAATACTCGAGACCCAGACACTTCCCGGGCCATGAGCAGACACATGGCCTTCCCCGGCCGGGTAGCACATGACCCACAAACTGGATAGTTTCCTCCTTTGCTCTCTGCTCAGCCTTGGCAACCTCCTGAAGGTAATCGGCTTTAACTTCCGCATGGAAGCCTTCCTTCTGGCGGCACATGTGATATAGATTCCCAAAGCCAAGGACAGCAACTGGGGCGAAGAGTATGCTGCATATCGCAAGTTCCAGCCATAGGGCGCCGATACCAAATTGCAACCACATGCCGCAGAGAATCGTCGTAATGGCGATCATGGCTACTGTATACATCAGCAAACCCGCTTCAACGGACAGCGATAACGTAAGGAATCGTGATGCAGCATATCCGATGCTCATCAACAGACAAGAAAAGACTGGTGTGGCAAAGACTAGGGCATAAGGAAACGTGGCATATAAGGGTGTTGCATCAGAGCCCAGGGACATCAAGCTGTCAGCGATTGCAAAGATTCCCAAGGTCATACCAGTGGCGAGCGCCCCAGAGACCCAACAAAGGAAAAAAACAGAAAGGTAGCAACGACCCCGTTCCAGCGCGGCTAGTGCTTTGATTCTGGCCCGCTCCGCTGCTGCCAACCGCTTCTCTCGCCGCCGGGCCTCGCCACGAAGCTCTTCCTGTGGTCTGTTACCCTATAGGCCTCTAAGGACTCATATTTTCAAGGTGTTTGGCCCAAGAACGATGCTACAAAAGGCGGTTGGTGAGCCTTAGGGTTAGCGGCCGCAAGGGCCAGCGCCATATCTGCAACAACCACCTGGCTACTAAGGTACCACCAATACGATCTAAATCCCGGCGTCAAACAAATAAACGGTACAGCACCCTAAACCCTAAGCTCTATAATGGTGAAGCGCTCCCAACCCAACACTCTCCTCTGGCGAGTCCCGGCGGGACCCTACAGAAAACCGGAAAAGTCTCCGGAACAAAGAAAGCCACTTCAAAGCAAAGTTTCGGGCGGGGCTACTACTTTCAGAATTTGGGTTCAGGGTACTAGAAGTAATGGGTTTAGGTTTTAGGGTTCAGGGTATTAGAAGTAAGGGATGCTATAAGGGTTTCTTCAGTAAGGATTCTAGTATAATAAGACCTTGTTCAAAGTTCTATCTATCAAAGGCCAAAGCCACGAAGGCACAAACAACTAACAACAAAAAATCAGACCCTACACCCTAGACCCTAAAGCCAAAAAGGCGCTGAACCCTAAACCCGAAACCCACAAAAAACCGTGAAGCCCTGGAGACTAGCTGGCGATAGTCAACTCAGAAATTCCTAAAGTCCGACATTCCGAAGAGGGCACAGACTCCAACACAACTCCCCAGCACTCTTGCACCGGGGCTCTAAGCTCCGCACTTCTTTGAAAGGGGTTTAGTAAGTACCCATAAGAAAGTACCGGGACCAACACAAATCGCCACGAAGCACAAACTCACAAAGTCCTTGATATAGGGGCCCAGGTACCCAAATATGATCTTAGCAGGGCTCCCATATAGTACCGTGGAGAAACCTCATGAACAACTGTGAGGTTAAACAAAGTCGATTTAAAACTCCGGCATCAAGAAACGCTGCCCCGGCCCCTATCAGAGGGCCCCTTAACGGATCCTAAACCCTAAACCCTAATCCCTAAACCCCCAATCC